ATTTTGAAATCTAGAAGGAATCCTCTGTGAGGAAAGACAACTGAGATGACACACTGCCATGCCTGCAGTCATCTCCTTGGGCTTTTTCAGAAGCTTAACACCTACTTTACCCTCAGAGCAAGATTTGGTAAAGGACTTTATGCTGGCAGGAACAGCCACCTCAAGTGCCCAGTTGAGAGTAAGCACAGAGAACTGCTGGGGAGCAAGAAAAACACAGTAACGTAAGAAAAGTCAATAAACATACATGACTTATCACTAACAACTTTTGTAAGCGCCATCTGAGACTTAAAAATAGACATCTAATTGTTGCTATTTTACTCTTTCTTATTGCTCTCACAGGATAATACGTAGAGCTTTTAGGTGTATGCAAATCATCCATCTTAGCAGAAGTAGGCCCTTTTTATCACCAGAGCAGTACAAACAAGCTCACTGGCCCTTGTGGAAGGGAGAAGAGCCCTGTTATCTCTTGTAAACAGCTTTTCTGCAACTTTGGGATACACCTCAACCAAAAGCTTCTGCCTCTGCATTTTATTCCTGCTTTGCAATGCTCATGCAGTAAAAGCCAAATATGAAAGAGTCAAGTTTTTAAGCCAACCATGCTCCTTTTCAAGTCCCACTTTAGCCAAACACATTTTAACTGCATGTAATTCTCTGGAATTCCTTCTAGTGTTTACTCCTATGAGTTCTTTGTGCACTGGAAAGAATAAAAATATTGTATAGTAATTAAGTAAAGTCTTAGAGAACAATGTCTGTGAGCTTTCAAATGGAAAAACAAAATGCAATTACTTCAGCAAGAGGCACTGTAATATTGACCTAAACTAAACCATCATCTACCTATAATCTGTGATTGGTTTTTGTCCATTTCCACTTGCTCTTCTGGTGGACATCTTAGCGTTTCCTGTAATAGATTTTAAGTGGTGCCTTAGTGACTTTATTTTCCCCACATTTGTAAGAAATCAGGTAAGAGGCTGGTGGGAGTGATATGGACCCACTGAAGACAATCTCATTGTTGCTGTCCAAGGAGTTGCAAAACCCACTTGCTGTTAGTTCCCTCTTTAAGGTGAAGGCTATTTAAGGACTACATGGACAAGCTGCATTTACTTGGCTGAGCTTTCAACTTGAGGAGAGGTAGGGGATCTGCTGACTTAAAGAATTAGTGTTTAATGAAAAAACACTTCTACTGTGACACCACAGAAATGGGATAAATGTCAATGTTCTGAAAAAAACTTACTCAGCTCAAAGGCCAGGAGATCTAAGAAATGTTTTTGCTACAGTGTGCAGATGGGCTGCACCTTATCCTACCTCCCTGCTCTCTGTAGCTGTGTTCACAGCAAGAGCACACACCAAGAAGATTGGTGTGCACCCAGGTCATGCTCTGTAAATCCACATCATTGACTGGGGGATATTCATATCTCAAACTTCAATGAACTGAGCTCAGGGTCTCAAATAACATCAGCCTCTTCTAGGAGACATCCTGAACTTGATTTGAGCATTTGTCAGCCAACAAACATGTCCAAAGGGGATTCTATCATCCTAGAGTCTTGAAACTCTTTCATAACTGTTCTCATTTATTTACACAGAGGTTGTGCTATGCCACCAACACCCTCTTTTTTCATCATTTGGAAAAATAGGATAAAAGCCCCAACAGCCATTTAAAAGACAAATACCTAAAGTTACTTAGTAGATCCAGGTGTGCAACAATATTTATAAAAGAACAATCTCCCTTCTTCCATTGCATTTATAGCCATCGGGATTGGGATGAAGCTAATCAGGAGACACAAGGGAATTTCCTGAAGACCAGCAGGTCCAGTTGTGTACATTTCGATTGCCCTGTGCAGCATCTGGATGGACACAGAAAGACTGAAATGAGATGTTGCAGGTGGCTGTTGCCCATCACCTGAAAAACCTGTGTCAGAAACAAGGCAATCAGGAAAAAAAAATGGGAATGACCAACAGCCATTGATATGGAAGTTGCTTCAGCTGGGAAATATATCAGACCAAAATGCAGGACCTACTAATTTTATTCTGTGAACAAAGGTTTCAGCTGTGCTCTAGGGCTGCAGGATCCAGCCCTTGTTTTCATGATTTAACAGGACAAACATGCCATATTCTCCACAGATGGCATGATCTAGGGCCCATGACCATCTGTAGAAGTTTAGCAATTTAGTAGGGAACTTCATTCATACACAAAACGCCTAAAAAAAGTGGGAATAATCTCCTTTCCTTTAGATAATTTCCCCCAGAGAATTTCCACTAGAGAAATGAAGCTATTTTTGTTTAGAGCTGTGTATACAGGGGACAGTGGTTACAGATCCTTGTCAGTGCCAAATGCTTCTCGTGATTTGATTTTCCCTTTTTTCTTGGAGAAATAACTCAGTGTTCATCAAATTTGGCAGAGAGGGGAGTCTACATGCTGTGAACGTGCCTTTTTGCTGTCCTGTGAAATTCTTATCTGGTTGGAATGAGCTACAAAGAGTCTAAAACTGTCATTTTCAGTGCTCTGGTTAGAGCAGCTTCTTGTCACAGTCACAGAGAACAACAATCCAAGGTTTAGCTGAGGAAAGCCAGGACTGTTTTCCTTGCCACCACTAGTGACTCAGGGTATGGATATTCATCCTTGGAGAGGCTTGAAGAGAATATCCAAAAGACCTGCCATTTCCTTAAGCAGTGCCCAGACCCAAATTTGATACAAGTTAAAGCCCATTGTAACAGGCAAAAAGAGAGGGTAGGAGTCAGGCCAAACTGGGTTTTCCCAAAAATCCAGTGAACAAAGTAGCTCAGCTCCACCCTCTGGATAAAACAACTTCTTCCTCCCTGGCAGCTGATGGTACCAGCCCTTTTTTGCTTAATGTTGGTAATATTTGAAGTTAATTGGTGACAGATTCAACCTTGTTCGTGGTGAAAGAGAAATGTTTCATTTATTTAGAAGAAAAAAATACTGGAGTATAAAAATATTGAAATATAATTTCTCCAGAGTGCCTATTTGCATGCAAATCATCTGTACATATCTATGACCCAATGATCTGTGGCTGCTGGACATTGGTTCACCTCAGCAGGAAAACAGCTTAGTTACTATTTCTGGTCCAAAAAAAAAAAAAAAAGAAAAAGACAGGTATGAATACTCTTTCAATATAAGTGGTGTGTCTGTGTGTTTATGTATCTGAATGCTATTTAAGATATAAAGTAATAACCACAGAGAAAGTCCTGATTGAATGGAGCTGACCCATTTCAAATTTTAAACACTATTAAAAGGCACTTTCCCCAGTAAGACTTCAACAAGGAAACTTTTCCGTACCCCTGAGAGGACTTCAAATAAGAATCACACATATGTCATGTGAGATCTTCACCAGGGAAAGCATTATGTGACTGAAAAACACAAGATATTCATGGCCGAACTATGGGTAAAAAACAATGAACTTTGCTCATGAGTTTGTTCTTTTTTAATCACTTCCTGTGCTAATGTAAGAGCTCACAGGTCCTCACAGTCAAACCTGGCTGTCTATCTTATCCTGTGGCACAGCAAGGATGAGCAACAGTATTTTAACAAAGCCGTTTCCTCTCTTTGAGCTGTTTGAATGAAATACAGTCTCTACAAAGAAAAAAAAACACGTATGTTCTTATTTTAGCTTTACCACTTGTTTGATTCTGTGATAGACTGGTGTGTTCTTGCTGAATAATTTGATTTCTCTTCCAAATGCACAGACTCATTTGCGAGGAGAAAAAGCTGAGATAATTTTAAACTTAGTTTGGATTACTGCCTAATTCTACCATCATATTAGAAAACTGTGAATTGGACTTAGGAACAGAGAAAAAGCCATGGCACTGCCCTGTGCACCAGTACAGAGTTACCTTAAAAATAACTGAGTTCTTTAAATCTCATGTGAGCAGTTTTCCAACAGTATCTCTCCAGGACAGCAGCCCAGTGGAACACCATCTCCAAGAATCTATATACTAAGCTGATTTCTATACCCAAGGACTGATACAGTGTTTTACTGCTGTACCCTGGCTCTACTGCTTCATCACCACATCCCTTTTTTTATTAGGTACAATTTTCCATTAAATAAAGGCTCCTACTATACAATTTTGACCTTTCTTCTGACTAATGAAATAAGAGAGACCAAGTTACTCGCCATCACATCAATATGACTTTTTATCCATGAAATTTTGAGGAGCTAAAACAAATTTTGACAAGCAATGTGACTCTCAAGAGCATAAGATCATGCAACAATAATCTAGGTGAAATTTGGGGTTCTCCTTCATTTTTTGAGAAAGCTTATAATCTGAGCTTTTTAAAACCGTGTAACAGATTTGGTCTCTGACCTATTTCCATTGTCTAAGTTAAGGGAAATGCAAAAAAAAGGGCAATAATTCAAATTGAAAAATTGAGTTGTTTTCTTCAAATTCCTTTTTAATAATGTAAAGCTTTCTTTTTTAAGAACTAGGAATATCCTTTTTACTTATAAAGAAGTACAATAATTTTCTTTCTAAATAAAATTTACAATGACACTTTGTGCTCTGAGAATGAGAATTTCACAGTGAAATAAAATCAAGTATGTCTTCAGGATGCTGAAAGAGATTCTCTTTGCTTATCACATCCTATATGAGAAGGTAGGAGATTTTCCATGCTTTATTTGAGATGAGAAATTATTTACCTTTTCAAAGAAGAGCTACAACTTGAAAATATTATTGACTACAGGAAACACAGTTGAGAGTTGCTGTGTTCCTTACTACGTGCAGCAAACCAGGGTCTGTGAGATTTTCTTGAAGGGTATTTCCTTTTTGAAGGGAAGCAGTGAGAAGCACAACTGTAGCTGAATGAGCTGGTTTGCAATACACATTGTGGTGGGGGGGAAAGGCATGTAAGCAGGATTTCACACACAGAAATAGCCTGGGAAATAGAAATCGCCGTGTTGATCCATAATATTTCCCTCCCGTAGTGGGTGTGACGGTGTGTTCGTTCCTCTGTATCTCTTTTTTTTTTTTTTTTGCTGTATCACCCAGACCCACTGAATTAGGCAGCTCTGCTGGAGGCAAACGCCCATTATCAAGCTCTCCCAGCCCCCTGCTCTGCAGCAATGCCTTCAGCCTCGGACACCAACATGAGGTTCAAGTTCTCCATCCTAGCGCTCCTTCTGGAAGTGATCACCATTGTTTTGTTTGGGATATTTGTGGAGTATAAAATCGGTAGTGACTATGACGCCTTATACCCACGTAAGTGTTGCTGTCTAAGAATTATCGAAGTTAGAATTTCTTTAAGCTAATCCTAGGCAAGATTTCTGAATAACTTAAGAGACCTGCTGATACAGATAGAAAATAAAGTCGTGCTTTGGGGCAAACAAATTTTTCTGAGGTGTGAAAGCAGCAGGCTTCAAAGATAAATTCAAGTTGAGCACATATAAAATTCTGTAAGTACCTAACTGCTGAGAATTTCACTGTTCTGGGAGAGAAGAGTCCTGAAAATAGTTCTAGTGTTTGCACAGCAGGTCAAAACTTGGAGAACTATGTATTGCTTTGAAAGATTCTAGCGTTTTCCAGAGATGGATGGGAGCGTTTCTTGCCAGAACTTCTATCCTGGTAACTGTATTAAATAATTAAAATTGTTAGAACATTAATCATCCAGGTTTTGAAAGGTTGTCTTATGGAAATTGAGCAGCATGTGCATCATCATTACAAAATGTTTACAGAATACAGACTCCATGAAGGGCCATAGTTTTTGTGACAAGGTGGATAACCCCCTGCTGTCTTCCAAAGCAGTAGCTCCATTAGGCAATGATAGTTTAGCCTTCAGATGTCTCTGTTGATTTGTTGCTCTGCAAATGCTTGATGAAATGAAGGAGAAAGCTTTTTGGCCTGAGAAGTAGTTGTTGACTTCTCTCACCCTCCTCTTCCTCATGCAAAGATAAGATTGTTGTGAATAAACAGAAAACAAAGTTTGCAGAGCTGCAGACTGTGTTTTCCCGCAGTATTGAAGGTTTCTCATTCTTTTCCTTGTCTCTGATGTCTCAATGACTTGCAGCCCTGATTTCAGTCCTCTTAATGAGGAACACAGAAGTACAAGTAATTTTGAATGCATCCCTCATTTTGGCTCATTCTAACTGTCCTTTCAGTGATTATTACAGGGGAATGTGATCTCAGGGTCTAGTCTTCTGTCATGTATTCTCACAGAGAGCATTGTCTGGCTGAGAGAACAGTGAATGCACAGCATTATTCAGCTCCAGATGCAAGTCAGTTGATGAACATGAGGAGCTAATCACTCACATTTGGGTTAACTCCACTGAAATGCAGCAGTATCCCTGAGATACAGGGACTTAGGCTATGCCAGAGCCCATTCCATTTCTGTGATACAGCTTGGCCACATCAATGATAATCACAGAGTCAGAGAATGGTTTGGGTTGGAAGGGAGTTTAAAGATTATCTCATTCCAACCCCCCTTCCATGGGCAGGGACAACTTTCACTATCCCATGTGGCTCCAAGCCCCATCCAACCTGGCCTTGAAGACTTCCACAGATGGGGCAGCCACAGCTTCTCTGGGCAACCTGTGTCAGGGCCTCACCACTCTCAGAATAGAGAATTTCCTCCTTTATTATCTGTCTGTTTAGAAAGTCATTCTCCCTCTTTTTCATAGCCCCTTTAAGTACTGGAAGGTGCTCTGAGGTGTCCCCAGAGCTTTCTATTCTCCAGGCTGAACAACCCCAGCTCTCTTAGCTGAGGTCATATCGAACTATCCCAATTGTATTGAACTACCCAAGTTCCCAAATTAGGTGGCCTTAGCTAGACAGTATATTGGGAATGGCTCTTGGTCCACTGTCACCCAGGAGGTGACACCTAGGCAAAAGCTATGCCAGAAACCACAGTAATAATTTGACAGCACAGATAATTGTACTATTTACTTTTTTTTTTTTTTAAGTAGCTATTACCTAAAACACCTCTCCACCTACCCCTTCCCTGACTCTATCCCAAAAGAACATGACAGCAACAGATACAACCACAGAACAAAATTGTTTGGGCCATCTTTGTATAATTTGGTAAGCCAGAAGGATGATGTTTAGGACACAGGACCTTTAGATTCAGTTTACTGGTTTTTCACCCCTCAAGAACAGAGAAAATGACTCCTCCATTCTCGGTATCACACCTCTGGCTCTGGTACTAAACTGTATTTTCTTGGAGTCTGCTTTATACAAGGGAAAATGAAGGAAAGTGCATTGGATTCTTCTGCTTAATGCCAGCAATTTAATAGTCTTACAGTACTGTGGTGCATTTCTGAGTAAACCTCTTCTGCATGGAGGTTGCCTGTACCACACACATCACCATGGGCACTGTGTTCCCTGGGGAGCTCCTGGGGTAGGCTGCTTTAATTTGATATCTCCATTTTAAAAAGGCATCAGAGAGAGGGCAGAAACTTCACCAACATCACAAAGAAGAGGTCTTTAAATGTAACCTATCCAGTTAGGGACCACCTATAGTTATTTCTTCCCTAATACCAGTGTCTAAGAGGTGTGGGAGGAATTTCCTGCTGTCTCCCTTGGCTCCCTGCACAGTCAGTGTATGACTGTGCTGCTCCTGTGTGCTGTCCCTCAGCTGCCCACACTGTTGACCTGTGAGCAACCTTCTGGAACGGGTTTGGCTCATACAAACCAGCTCCTTTACCTGCTCCTAGGTATGGCTTCAAGCATGGCATGGATAAGGGACTGCTTTTAATAAGTAGTACAGGTGGGAAAAGTTGGGAGTGAAGAACAGGTAGCTGTACAGGTTCAACCTGTGAATCAACCTGTGCCATGTGCCTTTTGGCCAGGCTGCTCACTTTACCAGTAGAGACATAAACTAAGCAAACATCAGGGATGTCATGCTGGACTTGTCGATGTTGACCTGACAGAGCTCATGGCCAATAAAGAACGAGAATAAAAAGCAGGATTTCCTAATACCTGTATTTTCACTTCTAAGACCCCTTCCTCTAAAATTTAGCTGTCTACAAAGTGCACACAAAAGCACAGTTTGCCTGAGGACCTGACAGAAAATTAATGCTGTGGTTGTATAGGTTTATTAGGATATACTTTGAGCCAGGACTTCCCCTGAGTCCACAAAATGATGTGTTCAAATGGCTTCCCATGCCGTCCCCAAGGATGTTAACACATCTGTACCTCAGAGATTTAATTGTTCCTTCCAGGGGTAAATTTATATTCTCAGAACTGCAGTGCAGGGCCTGATTTTATATGTCTTAAACACCTCAGCACAATAAATTCGAGCTCTTTCCGTCGTTTTGAGCAGAGGAAAAAATGAAAATAATAATGGAGGATCACCACAGCTTTTCACTCAGGGAAGGAATGCTGAGCTGAGATCATTCCCAACGTATAGCTTTGCATTATACTATTTCTACTGGATGCAAGTACAGGCGTGACAAACTGGATGGACAACTTCAGGTGCCCTGTGCTGCTGGAATGGGAGAACAAGGGGGTGTGATGGTTCTTCAAGCACTCCAACAGGATTTCTTTAGTACTGGTATCCTGTATGCGTTGTCCTGTGATTGATCCATGACTCAAGGCTTAGGAAAACCAATGCATCCCTCTTCAGGGTTCTGTGGTTTACTACTTTAGGCAAAACAATCAGTTTTAGTATAAACTTAGATACCACAAGCATCTCTGTGTTAAGACTGACCACCTTGCATTGGAATTATTATGTTGGTCTTGGGCAGCCTTGGAGAATCCTGTGCAATGGTTTTGCTCAGGATCTGCCGGAGTATTTTTCCAATCTTTGTTTTCCTGCCTCGCGGAATAGAACTACTATGCTTTGCTAAACACAACCAGTTACTGAAACAGTTCAGTTCAAATCAGGCTGTTTTCTTCATCATTTAAAATCATTCCAGACCTACTCTTCTCTATAACAAAGCACGAAGGTAGTTAAAGCTCAAGGTATAGGCTAGGCTAGACTCAATAGAATTTGTCCTCAACATCCATGAATTAACCTAGTTTTAACCAGGACTTCTAATTTACACTTATTTGTGTAAATAAGTCCAGACAGCTTTAAAATGTCCAGCCTAAGGAGGAGGCAAAAGGATTGGGGATATTTATGAACCACATGCATTTCTACAGAATTATAGAATGGCCTGGCTTAAAGATCATCTAATTCCAAGCCAACTAACAATGCCATTTCTTAGATGCAACATAAAGGCTGTTACTACACACCTGTAAGTGTTTCAGTGCTAGGTCAGGGCTGGAATATGACACTGCAAATACTGAAGTTTATCAGGAATCTCCAGTAACTTATACTTCTGGGCCCTCTTTTGGCTGAATCTGGTAACACATATAGCAAAACTAAGGATTGCTTAAAGTAATTGGAATTGTAACTTCAAGTCAAATATTATACTAACCAGCTCAATGTCTCAAGTTTTTCATGCATATTGGTATGTAAGAGCAATGAAATAGAAATTAAAAGAAAAGGTTTCTCTATACTAGAGGTTCTTACTAACAGTAAATCAGAGAAAAAGCTGTTATTATAGCACTCAAGCCTTTTTGGTTTAGAGTTGATTAAATCACATAAAACTTAAGAGTAAGGAAATATTTTCAAATATAAAATATTCATGTTGTGTTCATAGACTCAGTTGGTATTAAAAGCCTAAAAATAAAGAAAATTAAACATAATAACTTTAAAATGTAGAAGAAGAACTATCCATATTTTAACAAAATTCATATTTAGAAAAAAGTCTAAACATTTGAAGAAAGACTAAGTGTGTATTGACTAATGATATTAATTTTTTAATTTAAACTTTACCTTAAAATGACTTTTTCTTTTATCCATGTAAATAAATCAATGTCTTGTACAGTAGTTTTTAGGGATGCCAAGCATAATGTTCTTTCTATAATGATATTAGGAGGAATATTATCAATAATTAGGTTTTGCATTTCCCAGACACTCAGTCTTCAGCTAGTAGACTGGTCACGAAGTGGGGAAGAATGTGTCATATCCGTGAGAGGACTTCGGAATTCTTTTCTATTAAATCCTCCTTTATCCCTAGCTTTCTGCACTTCCCAATCACTTTTCATTGTCACTACACAGACATGTTTTCCCTTCAGATTTTCAGGATGTCCACGTGATGATATTTGTTGGATTTGGTTTCCTGATGACCTTCCTGAAGAAATATGGATTCAGCAGCGTTGGCATCAACATGCTCATTGCTGCATTTGGTCTCCAGTGGGGAACCCTGATGCAAGGATTTTGGCACATGCATGGAGGGAAAATCCAAACTGATGTCAGAAGGTATATGCGAATTTACAAAAATTGATATTTCTGTCCCTTAGGATATCAGGAGAAGCCGTAAACTACACTATCTATGGGATCAGACTTTAGGTTCACCTAAATTTCATTAAGCCTTACTGTCCACCTCTCAAAATCCATCTCTCTTCACCTCTAAGGGGGCCACACCTAGACCAAAGGGGCCAAAGGGTGGAATGAAATTTGAGGTGCTACATTATGTGTGGGCTGTAAGTCCTGCGGAGAGATTGCTTTGAGTCTCTGTGTAGAAGCTGGAAGATTTCAGCAGTAGCACAGCATATCCTGCATCCAGCAGGCATGGAAGGATCTGTCTTTCCATGACTCACAGGGTCACAGAAGAAAGTCTGCAACAGCATCTCTATTCACTCACAAGGTTTTCTTCTACTTCCTAAGGAGTGACTTTCATGAGCATCACACTGCAGTAGGGTCTGAACACCGATCGCAGAATAAGAGGCCTCATGAGCAATGTCTCCAGCAACTTTTAATCCCTCTCCCATTCATCTATCCTGCTTCTACCGAGATCTCAGAGTGTTTTTCACATCTGAAGTTCTATTTTCTGAGGCAACTTGTAGACAATTTGGAAAGCAACACCATCCAAACATTACTGTGGGACAAGCAGGAATACTCTAAGTAGCTCCTTAATGCTCCCAGGCAGGCATTTGTAGATGGATCCATAATTTAGTGCCTCTCTGTGCTCCAAGTTCTTGACAAATTTGTAGTTTTATTTACCTTTGCCATTCCCCAAAACATGTTAATGCTGAACCTGCCTGACAGGTCATGCAAACATGATGCACAGTGGCAGAAAGTCATGCAAGACTTTCAGAATGATATAAACCATCAGACTGAAGCCGAGACCTCCCTGTCATCTTTGAAATCCAAGTGGCAGTCAGGGCTGGAAATTGAGGTGCTGGAGCGTGTCCAGAGAAGGGCAACAGAGCTGGGGAAGGGTCTGGAGCACAAGTCTGATGAGGAGCAGCTGAGGGAGCTGGGGGGGCTCAGCCTGGAGAAAAGGAATCTTGGGGGGACCTTCTCGTTCTCTACAACTTCCTGAAAGGAGGTTGTAGCCAGGTGGGGTTTGGCCTCTTCTCCCAGGTAACAAGCAACAGAGCAAGAGGGAATGGCCTCAAGTTGTGCCAGGGAAGGTTTAGATTCGTTATTATGAAAAATCTCTTCAGAGAAAGGGTTATCAAGCAATGAAAGGGGCTGTGCAGGGAACTGGTGGAGTCAAATCCCTGGAAGTTTTTTAAAAAAACATGCAGATGTGGTGCTTAGGGACATGGTTTAGTGGTGGACTTGGCAGTGCTGTGTTAACAGTTGGACTTAATGGTCTTAGGGGTTCTTTTCCAACCTAAATGATTCTATGATATCCCTGCACATCTGCAATGTACATCTCATCTGTTTTTTCATTATAATTTCAATCAGTTAAGCACATTTATGGTATAAGCAGGAGGAAACCATCCCACACTTATTCCTCAGCAGCTGGTAAGATCCCTACAAAATCCATCTGGAAAGATTTCATTTAATTTTTACCCCCAAAGATGATCTTGATAATTTTATACTTGAAAAGTTAAAGCTCTATCATATTAATATGTCATGATGGATAGTACAGCCTTTAAACTGCTTTTCTCTTTTTCATGGTTTTTTGCTTTACCTTGTTTTGTTTTTATTTATTTTCTTACCTTCAGCATGATAAATGCAGACTTCAGTACAGCAACTGCTTTGATTTCATTTGGAGCAGTTCTGGGGAAAACAACTCCCATTCAGATGCTGATCCTGACAATTCTGGAGATCACCATCTTTGCATGCAATGAACATCTAGTTGCCGAAGTACTTCAGGTACAACTACCTAGAAATAATTGTTTTCTCTTTATAACAAATACTTTCACTTTGCAATACTTCCTGTTTGCATATTCTAGGTTTTAGTTTCTACCATAGAAATTAAACCATTAAAGTCATCCAGACTTCTCTTTCATCAAATCTTCATCTTTATGTTGTGTAAAATCTGAGGTCTTATTTTGGGTCCCTATTGCAGGCCACAGATGTTGGAGCTTCAATGACTATCCATGCTTTTGGAGCTTATTTTGGTTTGGCTGTAACCTTAGTGCTGTATCGTCCTGGTCTGAAAAACAAACATGAAAATGATGAATCCACCTATCACTCAGACATGTTTGCCATGATTGGTAAGTGAAGTAAGAGTGAGTGCTGAGCAGTTAGTTGTTTATTCCTCTTCTATCTCTATTTTTAACTGTTTACCTATTATTGCACTATATTCATTTTCCTAAGTATATTCCTAGAGGTAAATTCTTTATAGCCTGATGCATGGACCATATTTTCAGTGATACACATATATTTATACAGCTTTTCCTTGATTAAAAGAAAGGAAAGATCAAAGTAAAGATGCGTTTTCACTGTGCATTCATGGTGACTTCCTTTTTGTTAAATCTTCTGCTTTTAAGAAGTATTTCCATAGAAAATCATCATAATTAAAAGGATTGAGTTGTGCCTGTCATGGTAATGACTGTGTACCATATACCTGTGTGTCTGTGAGATCTACTCACAGACCAATTAAACAGCTAAAACTATCAGTTATATCTATAGGTGATAAAAGATTTGCATGTGAACTGTCTTGCTAATGCCTCTTATTCTGTTTGGGGTTTCACATTGCTCTGGCAATAAGTGTCCGGTGACAAGGGGTCACAGCATGTTAGAAAGATTTGACAGAGATCACGTGTCAAAATCCCAGCTGCCAGTGTCAAAAACTGTGTATTCTATTATTTCTTCCAGTATTTTGGCTAGTCTATGTTTCTTATTAATCATCTCCCTCATTTCTTGTAGCTACCTGTGTCGTGTTGGGTCTTTCACAGTGAAATACTCTTTATGACTGAATAGCCTTTGCTTTGTTTTGACTTGTATTTCACCCAGGTACCCTGTTCCTTTGGCTGTTTTGGCCCAGTTTTAACTCTGCCATTGCAAGTGGGGAAGACATGACAACAGCAATTATCAACACTTACTATTCCTTGGCTGCAAGTACCATCGTAACATTTGCCCTCTCCAGCTTGGTGGACAAAAGAGGCAAATTCAGTATGGTAAGAATCGCATTATGACCTCTGTAAAATCGAGTCAACCCTCTATAATAAGAGTGTCATGTGAAAGGTGGGAGTTCAGATATTTCCCCCAGGAAAGTTGAGACCCTGGTGTTCAACAGTCTGTCAGTGTTTCATAAGGAGACCCTTCACCACCAGATCTATCGAGTGTACCTCGACCTCCCTTGTTAGGGGCAACTCACCAAAGCCTGGACCCCTCAGCGGGTCCTGCCAAGGTGTTATCCACCACCAGCAACTGCAAGGACTCACTTTAGCAATTTACAGAATAATATTTTTTATTAATACAAATTCTGACAGATTAATAAGGTTTGAAAGTTGTCGGTGATAGCGTCTACTGCAAAAATATATTTTAAAGCAATCTACTGATACAAATATTAAGCAAGCACAAGCTCTGATATGAAGCAATCTAATTAATATACTATGGGGTAAGCACAAGCAAAAGCTCTAGTCCTAAAAGCAGCATTTAATGTGCATAGAGCATATTTCTCACCCCAGGCATCCCTCTCGGGGAGGGGGGGAGAGAATGGACTCAGCCTGTTGACTGATCCCAGCAGTTTCAGTGCAGGTCTTCTCCCACTTTCCTCTTATCCCCAACTTACTTTTATACTATTTTCTTTATGTTTGCGTGGAGTTTAGTCTTTCTTCAAATGTTTGGGGTTTTTTTCAGAATATGAATTTTGTAAAAATATGGCTAGTTCTTCTTCTACTTTTTAAAGTTGTTGTGTTTAATTTTCTTTTTTTTTTAGGCTTTTAATACCAACTGAGTCTATGACCACAACACGGATATTTTATATTTTAAAATATTTCCTTACTCTTAAGTTTTACGTGATTTAATCAGCTCTAAACCAAACAGGTTTGAGTGCTGTAACAGCTTTTTCTCTGATTTTATTGTTAGTAAGAACCTCTAGTATAGAGAAATTATTTCTTTTAATTTCTCACAGAAAGGGTTGGAAAGCACTGGAGCAGACTGTCCAGGTGGTGGTGCAGGGTTGATGGCTGGGCTTGATAACATTAAAGGTCTTTTCCAACCTTAATGATTCTATGAATCTATGATGATTTTCTCTTGTCCACAGGACCTGCTGGATCATAGTGACATTAGTCCAGCGTTCAGGTGGACTTCTGGGTCTTATTCCAAAGACAGCCCTATTTGAGTTATCTTATTACAAGAGCCAAAATAGGTCTCCCAAGGCAAGGACCTGTTCCCTGACAATCTCACAGTGCATCTGCACAACAGGCAAAACCAAACTAACTTGGGGCTGCCAAGCTGACAATCTTTCATCTCCTAGCCCTAAAATCCAGCCCTATATTTTCACCCACTTCTTTCCCCCAGCCGCAGTTCTGTCTGAGCTCAGCATGATCGGGGTTGGGATTTGCTGCTGTTGTAGGAGGCAGCTCTCACTCGCTCAACCTGGATTCTCAAGAGATCATATGAGTTTTGGTGACTTTGCAAAAGCTGGACTTCATTAAAGTGGCTTAGGGCAACTTTGAACCGACAGCAAGAATATGTAACAGAGAACTTTGCTTTAAGTTCCTGTTCCTTCTTCATTGGAAAAATCTCACCTGAAGAAAAGGAAAAGTTCTGTGTGCAAGAGAGTCTTCAGAGGCACTCAGCCCTAAAAGGAAACTCTGTTCTTCATATATCACTTTCCCCTCTGTGTCCCCTTTGCAGGTTCTCATTCAAAATGCCACCCTGGCAGGAGGAGTAGCAGTGGGTACCTGTGCTGACCTACACATTTACCCTTTTGGTGCCATGTGCATTGGGATCCTTGCTGGAATTGTCTCTGTCCTTGGGTTCCGCTTCCTGTCTGTAAGTACTGGGGACCCACCTCTGCTCTCATTTATTTATTGCCCTTTGGATTTCCTGGAGCTCCGTGCGTTTGCTAGAAAGGGAGGATAGAAACTGGCTGATGCAGCAAACTCTAGACAATGGTGACTTTTAATAATTTGATTATTTTAATAATAATGATTTGATTTTTGTACTTCTGCACTACTTTCTTTTGCACATCATTCTAGAGATCATAGAATTCTATAAACTCACTATAAACTTCCGATTTCCCCTCATTTCAGCCTCTGTTGGAATCCAAGCTGAACATTCAAGACACTTGTGGAGTTCATAATTTGCATGGTTTGCCTGGAATTCTGGGAGGTATCGCTGGCATCATAGTAACTGCGGTAACAGACCAGACAATGTGAGTTACAGAGAGATGAGAGAAAGGTTTCTTTTAATTTTTGAACATCTATCTTTATTTTCTATCTTCTTTGGATCTAATTATGATTTTTTTTTTCAGAAATACACCTTTGATTTAATGACAGGCATCATATTCTGGTTTGAATGGGATTCTTCTTAATCTCCTGCCTTTAACACACTGTTTAAATGCCAAGTTTGTTCCAGATTAAAAATGCAAATAAAACCAAATAAATTAAAATCATCATTAAAAAGCTCAGAGCACAGAACCATTCAAACATAGAAAAATATTTATTATGATTCTATAATTGCACTGCTGGTAACTGTAATATTTCAACAGAAATTGGAAAAATGGGCCTTTTCCACTATCTTATAAGACTCCAAGAAGACGAAACGCTGATCTTTTTGACAACAGGGAGCATTCTCTAAAAGCTTACAGGATACTAATAATCTTTTCAAAGAACTTGTTTTCATTTGAAGTCTAAACCAAGTCAAATTAAAGTCATGATTTGTCTTGTACACAACAGTGGCAGGATTTGTTGGACCTAATGTTCTTGGAGATCTTTTCCAACTTTGATGATTCTAGGATATTTTCCTATGAGCCGCCTAGTTCAGCAGGCAGCAAGTACAGTGTTGTAAGACCAACCATCAGTCTCAAAGTGTACCAATTTTTCAATAGTCAATGGTTTGTTTTCTACCCCTTTCAGGCATGGTGTCCTGCTAACTCCTGGCAAGCAGGCCGCTGCCCTGGGAAGTACACTTGGAATTGCACTGGTGGGAGGAGCATTGACAGGTCAGTCTGATGCATGTGTGTGAACTTAGAGACTTTTCCATGGAGAACGTCAATGTATCAACAATTTCATGTGAATAACACAAAACAGAAGTAATGCACGATGGCACACTGGCAGAACCTTAAACATGGAAATGCAGTTTTTCCAATATTTTTGTCTTCAAATAAAGTCCAGGTTGGACATAAGAAGAATTTCTCCATTATAAGGGTTGTCAGACATCGGAAGGGGCTGCCCAGGTGGTGGACTCCCCATCCCTGGAGGTGCTCAAGAAACGACTGGATGTGGCACTCAGTGCTCTGGTCTAATTGACAAGGTGATGTTTGATCAGGGGTTGGACTTGATGATCTTGGAGGTCTTTTCCAACCTCTATGTCTCTATGATTCCATGATTCTAGATATCCTACTGAATACATGCTTCAAAGATAACTGAGTTTTATATATATATATATATATACACACACACACACACACATAGGAATAGAAAGATGTTGTTCTGGATGCAATTCTTCTCCAGATTTAAAATCCTGAACAGTAACTAGTTTGAGACTAATACATATTCAATGAGGTGTCACATGTTTCCATGTGTTGTTGAATACTTCCAAACAAAAAGAAACAGGAAATTTCAGTCTGAAGTCTGGGAAAGGTTTGAACAATTAAAAACAAGCTCTTGTTCATGTTTATGTGAAGAAATCTGCATCACTCCTCAGAATAAGTGACCTGATGTTCCAAGATGGTTGGATACTTCTGTAGATAAGGAAATGAGTCAGAAATCTTAGCTGGCTCCCCAGGGCACATCTTAGGGACGTTTATTTGGTCATTTTCTCAGTTTTTTTAACCTCTGATGCTGTTTTTCCTGCAGGTGCTATTCTAAAGCTGCCCTTCTTGGGACAAGTCTCTGACCAGAACTGCTTTGATGACTCTGTTTTTTGGGAGGTAAGATACAACCTCCTTTATTTTCATGATATTGGAAAATGTACATCACACTGCAGCCCTGCTCTCCTGAGTTGGTGGTTTGCACACTTGAGTCAACTTTCAAAAATGATGCTTTGCCTCGGGCGGTGGATTTATCAAGGCCATCTTCAGGACCTTTTCTGGACTTCTTAGCTAGTCATGGCCTTTTGGACAAAAAGTGGAAATACAGCCAACAGATTGATATGTCAGTGGAGCTCTTTATCTCTCTTTTAAGTGCTCACTGTATCAAGTATCCTTTTCCTTATTAGAGACTGATGACATACTCCTAATTTAGACAACCTGAATTTTATCCTTTATGCCAGGACAAACCCAAAAAGGCAAGGCAAGAATTAATACATTAAATACATTCATTGTAAATAAAATGTACTGAAGCAAAAAGGAGTTCTTGTTAAGTGTTTTAATGAATTAAACTCCAGTACGGACCAACTACACAATTTGGCTTTTGGTGAGAGAAGGTTTGCAGTCTAAGAGAAAGTTTTGAGCCAAAAGATCAGCTGCAGCAACGACAATCAGAAAAACAAAAGCAAAAACACAAAAAAAACCCCAAACAAAACCACAAAAAAACAAAAACCAATCAACCAACCAGCCAAAAAAAACCCCAAAATATTTTAATGACAACTCTGCAAGATATGTGCTGGTTGACCTTGGGAAAGTCAAAGACCTAAAATGTGTTGTCACATGTAAATGTTAAAAAATGTCAGGAAAAGAAAAGTTTTACAATGGCTGAAGAATTTACAGCCTGAGTTGACCCGTGATAATAACAGCCCCTGCTCTACTGAAGGTCCTGTAGCATCACTAACACTGATCAAAAATACTCAATTCCATATGAGCTTTATCAGATAATGGGAAGGAACATTGATATCTGGCATACAACATCATCTATATTTCTTTAGAGAAGTCTCCTTGTTTCTTTAGAGCTCCTTGAAAATCCCAGATATATATTCTGTACTCTCACGGCTGACATCAGCGTTAGGGAATTCTTCTATGAACAAAACCCTAAATTCACCCCTCAGAATCCAGAACTGGTGTTTCATGTCAGGCTGTGCCAATGTTGATAAGCAGACACATAACATATACAAATAGAATTACATTCTCAGCACATTTTAGTCTTCTTTCATGGCAAAAGTAAGTCTATATCTCATTAACTGAACTCTTCTGTTTTTTATGGCAGGTTCCAGAAGAGGAGAAAGGACATGAAATTCTCTCCAGCAACCGTGATGAGAACAGCAGATTTGAAGCTGCCATGTAGAAAAATAATTAATCTGTAATATTTGTGCTAATGAAGCTCTTTTCCATTTCTAATGCTAAGAAAAAACATCCAAGTATTTTCCTTACAACCAGAGGGTTTTAAGAAGTAGCTGTAAATAACTATATTTTTGTGATATAAAACAAGCTTGATTTTAGAGTATGTAGTCATTACGCCAAGCCCAGGCGAATTAATTAGGTCTTTCTAATATATTTGTTCATCGTCAAAATTATCTATATTTTATCTTTGGTTGCCACTGAGTCAATATAGCTATTGTAACAAATTTTGGGTTTCAAGATTCCTCCAGGATAATATATTTAACTGCAAGATTTCTGTGTTACAATCACATCCTTCAGCTGTGTAGAGGTAATCAAGAAGAAATTAATTGATAGTTTTTATTCAGATTCTAACAAGCTTTTCACCAGAGCATCCCATATTAACTTTTTAAGAAAGTTTGTTGTCTTATTTTTGGATGGGGGTGGGGGGGAATGGGCTGTGTTTTGAAGATTGATTACGACAGGAAACAAAATATTGAAGTCATTCTTATGGCAAAGCACAGAACACAGCGATTGATGAGCTACTCTAACTGGCAATATGAGTATCAAAATTCATTGTTAATATGTTTATTGAAAGGAAGAAGAAAGTGAAATTGTGAAAAATTTCATTACAGTCACAGATTTCTTTAGACTGTTTCAGGGACACAATAAGGGAATTGAGTAGGAGCTATGAGAATCAGGTGGTTGCATAATATGCCTTATTACATTCAGCAGTAATAAGTGGGTTGTAGCACTGGTAATGTTAATAAATATGAACTGAACTAATGCTAGCTCCAAAAAAGCATGAGTTGTTAGGAACTGATTGGAAAGAAACCATGTCCAACCTACAGAAGACTCAGAGAGGACTTCCATGTGGTGAGTCACTGACCTTGAAGTCACTGTCTCCTAAAACAAGAGAAAGCAGAAAGAAGAAATTTGAAGCTAAATTAATGTAAATTAACTCCACCTGAGAAGTGATGACAGTGGCTGCTCAGCTAAGAGAGAGAAAAATTGAGGAAGGAACTCTACAAGATGAGAGTAGCCGGGAGCAGAGTCACACCCCACATCTGTGCCCATGTGCATGGAGTAATCCAGGGAGAAGCAATGGATGGGAAATCTAGCAGAAGGAACACTTCAGTGCATTATTTGGACATGGAAAGCTACCACTGATGTCTCAGAAGAACAAGCTAAAGTGGGTGAACTTTAAAGACTTTATTTATATTAGCATCTTATTTCAAGTCTGACTCATCAGACTAAAGAGAAAAACTCCTCTCATATAAAATAGCACATATGTTTTCAGTTCTGCTGATGTATTTTTCCTTCAAAAACTTTAGAAAGATACTAGTCAGGGTTGTCTCATGTTATATCAGCTGTATACTGCTATATATGCCACATTTCTACCTATAGATGAAAACACATTTGTTGTAATACACTTCAGTTCAGATATGCTCTTTTGCAGATGTACAGCAATTGGCTCTGTTCTACCTTGTTGGCTATAAAATATGCTTTATCCTTTCAAAGCTTTCACACAATCATATTTGTAAAAATGGAGAAGGTATTTAACAATGTAAATACTGCATATGTAGATATTTTAGAAGGGATTTTTTATAATTTGCAAATTATTGAAGTACTTGAAAAATATTCCATATGTAGACAGCCTTTAAAAATCTTATATTCAATACAGGAATGTCACCCCTCAAAATCTTGTTTGGGGATTCAGAGGGTCTTTCTTTCACCTTACAGAGGTGAGGTAATTTCACTGATTCTGAGTGTTGACCACCCAGGAATGCCTGAGTGAAGAAGTACCACTCACTGTCAGTAAATCTTTCAGAATTATAGAATCATTAAGGTTGGAAAAGACCCCCAAGATCATCAAGTCCAACCTGGAATGGAATATCACCTTTCCCACTAAACCATATTGTGAAGTGTCGTGTCTACTTGTTTTTAGAACCCTTCCAGGGATGGTGAGTCCACCACTTCCCTGGGGAGCCTGTTCCAGTGTTTAACCCCTCTTTCAGTGAAGAATTTTTTCCTAATATTCAGGCTGAGCCTTCTGTGGAGAATGATGCCCTCAACAGTTATCTTTAGTTTTTGAAACAAAAAGGGGGAAAATGAACTATGCAGTTTGGTTCTCCAGTTCTCCTTATAATCTTTCCGTAGTAATCCAGACCCTCGTCCTTCAAGAACTCATTATTGTCCTCTGCCTTTTCTTCTCAGAAGTTTCCTGTCCCAGACAAATCAGTCATTCAGGTTCTCTCAAAAAAACAGAGAAGGGAGATGGATCGTTTTGTTTAATCAGAGCTTCAAATGTTACTTTCTTTTCCATGTCACTGTGCCCTTGAAGTGTATGATTTGTTCTTCTGAAGGGTCATTTCCCTAATTGCTCACCTCCATACTTCAGCTGCCAGTGGCATTTGGTTCTCTGTCTTAGGATATTTTCTTTGGTTGGTTATTTCCCAGTTAATCAAAACTTTAAACACCCTGTGTCAGTAGAGCTTCTTTAATAATTAGTTACAACTTCTGTGTAATATGTTATTGAACATAAAATATTTTACCACGAACTTTGCTCTTCCATGAGGGAGCCTCACACTGGCAGGAAAGGAAAGTAAGGAGGAAAACAAGAGATGGGGTGGAGGACAAGCTTAGAGGTTGGGACTGAAAAGTAAAGCAAACTGCTCTAAATTCAAGGTTTATGATCATCAGTGTTTCTTTTCTTTCTCATAAAAGACTGACAATTTTTTATTCCTTCCAATAACCATTAAACATTCTGTCTTACCTTTGTTCTCACCTTGACATGTTAGTTTTTACATTAAAAAAGCTTAAATAAGGTTTATTTTTTTAAGCAAATAAAAACTTTAATTATATCTTATTTAAACTAACCAAAGGTCAAGCTTATTGTCAAAACACCAGTGGATGATCATAATTTGAAAATTGTTTTACAGTTCTTCAGCTCTGTCAGAGCAGTATCTTTGTATTTCATTATTGAAAGGCAAATTTATTTTAAAGCCACTGGCTGAATATTTGCTTATAAAATTTTTTTTCATATTTGTATTCAAATCCGTTGCTGATTAAATGCATGAATTTAATGATCAGATGGCCAACTGTATTTGTTTGACATTTCTTGAGGATGTATAGTCTTCTTTCTCTCTCAGTGGGATCAACCTGTTAAAAAAGTATGCATTGTGAGAGTCTTGCCAAAAGAGAGCTCTTCCTCTTCTTCACAAGCCTTCCTGCAGAAGTTCACCTTTCAGTCACCCCTCAGCTCCTTGTTGTTAATTAAATTCCGGATATATGTGGAAAGACTGACATTCTCTGTGCCTTTTACCCCATCTGGGAAGGTGGAGTAGAATCAGGCCAACTGGCACTCAGCTGGACACAGGCCCTGGACTTTTTCCAGGACGCATTCCAGGTAGGTGAAATGTCTTGGTCTGTTTTTCAGAGACCCTGGGACAGCAGCAGACTCAGGGTAAGGCACTACATGAGTAGGCTTGTTGGAGCTCCTTTTCCAGGCTCCCAGCCATGTGCCAGGGCACTTTTCCGCACCTGCATCCCCAGGGGCTGACTCCTCTCCTCTGCCTCTGGTGCTTTTAGGAGATAAGAGCCTGGGCACCTCCCCTCACACAGCCTTCACCTTCTTGCCTCAAGGCCATGTACAATTTAGGGCTCTAGACTTCTACTAGAAACTCTTTCAAACACTGTTCTTCAGGCTGTGGCTCAGCTTCTCTGGCCAATCTCAGTGAAAGACCTGGGTGGTTTCTTCTCCATTGCTGCTGCTTCCAACAACTCCCTCTCTGCTGCTCAACTCTCTTAAAGTCTAAGACATGAGTCAGACTGTACCTCAGCCCTCTTTCCTCACCCAACAGAGGACATCTTTTCTCAATGAGGTGTCCAGTTCTGGGATCCCCAATACGAAAGAGGTATGGACAGACTGAAGAGAGTCCAGCAAAGGGCCACAAAGATGCTGAAGGAACTGCAGCATCTCTTATATGAGGAAACACAGAGAGATTGGACTGTTTAGCCTAGAGAAGACTCAGGGGGATCTTATCAGTCTGTATAAACACCTGGAGGAAGGTTCAAATAAGTCAGAGCCAGACTCTTCTCAATGTGTGCCCAGTGACAGGACCAGAGGCCATGGGCACACACTGAAACAGGGGAGGTTCCTCTGAACATCAGGAAATACTTTTTTGCTGTGAGAATGACCAAGCACTCCAGGTTGCCGAGAAGGTTGTGGAGTCTCTCTCCTTAGAATCCTAGAATTGTTTAGGACCTTGGACATATTCAAAATCTGTCTGGACATAGTCTAGGACAACTGGCTCTTGATGGCCCTGCTTGAGGAATGGGCTTGGACCAGACAAATTCCAAAATCCCCTCCAATCTCAATCATTCCATGATTCTGTGACTTGAAATTCTCAGTGAATTCAATGGAAGCAAAGTTATGCCAATTCCTAGGTATTTTAAGAAAATAAGTCTGTGTACTACTTCCTTGGGCAGTGGCATTTTGATTTCAGTTCTCAGGGTATCAAGGCTGTATCTGTACTAATGACAAAAACTTAATTAATCAGTAACCAGGACAGTGTACAGAGTTTATGACTTTTTATACCAAAAACCAGGTCAATGACCACGTTCTTGGACTTTCATACTCGGACACTGAGCTATACTCTCACCCAGTCACACACTTGGCTAGCAAACATTTACCTGCCTCTGTACCCTGCTGAGGTATAGCACAGAGGGAGAGAACTAAACCAGTCACAAATTGCAAGAAAAGTATCTGGGAAAGAGGTTTACGGACTAACACAGAAGTCTCCAAAGGGAAATTTTTGCAGGAGGACAGAGATCCAGAGTCCACATTTTCTCTTTTCTCTTCTGTGGCAAACACTTTGTTGAACAGAGATGGACTGGAGCAGCAGCACTTCCATTGGTTTAGTGTTCATCCTGGCTTTTCTATACATTTTGAAAATAGCAGGTTTCTGGGACAACAACCAGAGAAAGAATTTTCCTCCAGGACCAAGAGCATTACCTATAATTGGAAACCTTCATTTATTTGATTTGAAGAGACCCTACAGGACTTATGTACAGGTAATAATTTTCTTTTCTATTGGTCCCATAACTACACATATCACTGAGCCCATAGTCCAAGATGTCAGAGAGTTTCTCCTACTATCCCTGACATGTTGTAACCATGGATGATCCTTTAGCAAGGGACAGGAGATGGTTATTTGAGTAGAAAACTTTGAATGCAGAAAGATTTGTTCTTTACTGTAATATTTTCTCCATGCAGCTTCATGCATCCAGGTTTCAGCCTTAAACAACTCTCAAATTAATAACAAGGGCCCACCTTATTTTTGTGATAATTTTGAGGAAAAGGCAACTGAATAAGGAGTGATTTTGATATGTGGTCTAACTCCCTCTGGTTTCCACTGATTGATGTGTCTGGACCTTACTGGAGCTTCTTGCCTTCACTGAATCAGAAAACTTTCTCATCTCTCTTTCCTCCTTCCTTCCCCAAAAGCTGAAGATAACTATATACACTTAATATTCAGGGGCAACAATTGCCAGAATAATAAACCTTTTGTTTTTTTTCTTGTACTTTCTCCACCCAGTTTATTGCAGGGCTTTCCTGACTTTGAGTCAGAAGACTACAATGAACCTGCTCCTTTCTTAGAGTTTTTTCCACTTAGACATTGCAATTACACATCCTCCTTGGTGAAGATTTCAAAAGGGATATTCACACCTACAAATCTGGATGTTGCATCCACAAATCAAAAGATTGCTTAGATGCACAATCTAGAATATCACTGTAGCTATGCAGTACAGCCTAATCATGTTGACAAAAGCAAATTCCATGTGTTTTCAGGCCAACAGAACCAACATGTCTCTGCTGTAATCCAGTGATTCCACGCTAATGCGGGAGGTTGGTTCTCTGACGAGTATAATTCAGACATGTGTCACTGCTCCTCTTATTTCATATATAGTTGGCTCTACTGGCTTACCAGTTGCTGAACATTTTCCACATTGTTGCTAAATAGCTGTTTTCTGTTTCTCTCTGAAAACACAGAAGAAAATAAGGACAGTCAGGAAAACCCCCTCCAATTGTCAGGAGAATTAGGAACAATGAGTTATATAAAAATAAATCTACCTGTACCAGCTAAAAAGGTGTCTCCAAGACAGATTCATGGAAGATATAGTCATGTATAAAAACTGTGAATTTACCTAATACTAAATCCTGGACCAGAAAACAAAAGGTTGTTTTTTTTTTTGGGGGGGGGGGTGTACCAGCTAAAAAGGTGTCTCCAAGACAGATTCATGGAAGATATAGTCATGTATAAAAACTGTGAATTTACCTAATACTAAATCCTGGACCAG